CAGGCGGTCCCTGGCCTCACCTCCCTGAGGCGACATGGTTCTCTCTTTCTCTCTCTTCCTTCCTTTTCTCTTGTTCTTTCTCTCTTCCTCTCAATCCTTCCCTCCTTTTGTTATACTGCTGCCTCTTCACTAGGTATCTGCCTCTTCCTTTCACTCCCCTTCCCTCTGCCGCGTAGCTCTCTGCTTCCTTCTCTGTTTCACTCCCCCTCTCTCTCTGCTGTATATTTTTCTGTCTCTCTTTTTTTCCCATCACTAGGCCTTTCTCCCTTTCTCTCCCCCTTTCCCCATGTTCCTCTCCCTTCCACTCCCTGTACCTTTCTCTCCCACCGTGTCCTTCTCCCTGGGTGGGTACTTTCTCTCTCTCCGTTATGTGTGGCTCTGTCCCCAGGTGTATCGCGATCCCATGCTCTGTGTCCCCAGCAGCGCGTGTGGGACAGGATTGGCACAGCTCCAGTCGTGCCCTCCACCAGGCTCCCCAGGTGCACACACCGCACGCACGCTCCGTTAGACCCAGATAAGACATCTGTCCATTGCCAGTGAATTCTCATTCTGTTTCCAAAGTGCAAAGCCACAAACTCCCTTTCTCTCTGCAAACAAACAGTGGCTTGAGAGTCTCGCTGCTTCAGCCCTGGCACACAGCAGTCTTTCCATTAGGGATTCTCCTCCACACCCCGGCTGCAACCCCCTTACCCAGGATGGTGCCACCCAATTCAGTTTCCTGGAGGGGGAAGCAGCCATCTCTCCTGTTCATCGTCCCCTCTCTCACAGCTTTCATACTTTGCAGACATTACCAAAGCTTCACATGTAAGCCAGTCATTGCCATCCCTATGTCACAGATGGAGAAACTGAGGCACGGATAGGATGTTTTTCCCCCCCCAGGTAAGGGACTTCCCAGAGCAGAGAGCGGAACTCAGGAGTGTCTGGCTCCCAAACCCTCATTCCTTCCAGTACTTCATGCTGTCTCCTGACTTCACTGAGGGAACTGATTCCAGGCCTCTACCTCCTACCTCACCCGAGCGGTGGGCGCACATTGGAAACACCATCCCCAACCTTCTGGCCTTGGGGTATAAAGGGAGATTGATGGTGTCCCCCTATAGTCAACACTTGCATTGCTTTCCCTTCTGAGTAGCAATTGCCAAGGGGACTCCCCTCAGCTGAAGTGGAGAAGGCATCCCTGACCCCCACCTGTCAGCAGGATTGGGGGTCCCTCATTGGGGCAGCACAACTCTCTCTCGCTGTCCAGCCCTTCGGGGAAAGCCCAAGGGGCGGTATTTCTGTAATCCAGCAGGAGATGCTCTTCTCTCTAAGGTGAAGGTCTGACGTGGACTCTAATACAGGTTTAAGCCAAGATGCCCCTACCATCCACACATAAAGCCTTGAGACATGTACCCTCAGAACACAGGTTTGCTGACTCAGCTGGGGGCATAGCGCGAGCCCGTGTTCTGATGCAGTGAATGTCTCAGCCTGCCCACTTTTGGGACGTAGCTAAAGAATGTGATGCCAGGCTCAAGTCTGGACAGTCCACCAATGCTATCCCACAATTCCCAGGGCCTGTGTGTTCCAGCCCTTCTACCTCCCAACCTCCCACTTGCCTCCCACGCACTAGACATAACCTGCTAGCTTAAATACAGCGGCTCGGCATTTAACCCTTCATTGCACATGTTTTGCTCCGTTTCCAACACAGCTGAGCCAAGCTCATAGAAAGGCAGGGGAAACTGCCCCCCCGCTCAGCGCTGACCCCAATACCCCAGCCGGGTACTAGAGGATGCAGAGCTACTGAAGGTGGTGTCCACAGCCCAGCAGGAGGCAGTCGTTCTGACGGCCCACCTAGCCCTGGGGTGAGTGGTGCTACAGGCAGTGGTCTGCAAGACTCAGGATGAGGCGCTCTTCTCGCTGAGTCACTGCCAAAGCAGTGCCCCGGGAGGCTGTGTCATTTGACCGGCACTGAATGGCTTCTGATTTTCCACCTCACGGAGAGCTGGCTTTTTGTGACCAAAAGAAATTATATCCATAGCAGAGAGCTCTGTGCTCACTCCTACGTCCCACCCCGCTCACGCCCCAGACAGAGAACAACAACATATCAGCAATAAAGTCATCACCCTCTAGAAAAGTGTGAACCAGAAGGATCTGGAGGAAAGATCGCCTGGAAATATTGTCAGCCTGTGAGAAAATTCACAGACATCCCACACATTAATGAAAGCCCCTCCCATTCCACATGAGCCAAGGGGGCTTAAAGTGGGGAAAGTGAATGCTGATGGGGATGGGATCTACTGAAGAGAAAAGCCAGAGTGGAAGGTGCTCATGATATATGGAAGGAGAACATACCCATCAAATACACATTGAAGGCTGAGCACTGTGTAGCTAGGGTGGGGCTGGGTTTGGAGGGGTGGCACTGAGAGGCTGTCTATGATAAGGGGAGTGTAGAAAGGGACTGGGCTCATGTAGCACATAAACCCACACACACATACACAGAGGAAATATAATGAACCATAACTAAAGGCTCATCCATCAGCAGCGGGGAGATGAAATGGGTTTAAGATATGGACAGCCCCTCATGCAGCACAGTGCCCACTAGTGCCGTGCTGAGGATATTACCTCCAACAGCACAGCATCCCCTGGTGTCACATAGGCACAGCCCCTCCTGCAGCATGACGCCCCCCAAGAGCCATGCTCAGGATATCACCTCCAGCAGCACATTGGTCTAATCCAGCTGGGACCATAGCACCACGGGGACAGTCCCTTCATTCAGCCGCAGGGCGCCCCCTAGAGCCACGGGGACAGTCCTGTCACCCGCATGGCGCCCCCTAGCACCACAGGGACAGTCCCTACAGCCGCAGGGGGACTCCTAGCGCCATGGGGACAGTCCCTTCATTCACCCGCAGGGCGCCCTCTAGTGCCACGAGGACAGTCCCTTCAGCTGCAAGGCGCCCCCTAGCGCCACAGGGAAAGTCCCATTAGCTGCAGGGCGCCCCCTAGCGCCACGGGGTCAGTCCCTACAGCCACAGGGCGCCCCCTAGGCCACAGGCACAGTCCCTTCAGCCGCAGGGTGCCCCCTAGCAGCACGAGGACAGTCCCTACAGCCGCAGGGCGCCCCCTAGCAGCACGGGGACAGTCCCTACAGCCGCAGGGCACCCCCTAGAAGCACGGGGACAGTCCCTTCAGCTGCAAGGCGTCTCCTAGCGCCACGGGGACAGTCCCTACAGCCACAGGGCGCCCCCTAGTGCCACGGGGACAGTCTCTACAGCCGCAGGGCACCCCCTAGCAGCACGGGGACAGTCCCTTCAGCAGCAAGGCGCCCCCTAGCGCCACAGGGAAAGTCCCGTTAGCCGCAGGGCACCCCTAGCGCCACAGGGACAGTCCCTACAGCCACAGCGCGCCCCCTAGCAACACAGGGACAGTCCCTACAGCCGCAGGGCACCCCTAGCGCCACGGGAACATCCCTACAGCCGCAGGGCACCCCTAGCGCCACGGGAACAGTCCCTACAGCCGCAGGGGGACCCCTAGCACCATGGAGACAGTCCCTTCATTCAGCCGCAGGGCGCCCTCTAGTGCCACAGGCACAGCGCTTCCTACCACCAGAGTAGGAACAGCACTTTCAGCATCACACCGCTCCCTGTTCCTATTCTAAGGGCTGTGGGTCTAGCCACACAGTTCCCCCTCATTCTGCAAGAGCCTGTTGGGAATTGGAAGCCATGAAAGATAACAACTCAACACCCCCTTCCTACCGCAGTGCCACGCTAGGGACAACAGCTCCCTCAGCATGGCGCAGCCCATTGCCAAGCCGGAAACAGTGCCACTAGTATCTCTGGGTCCCACAACTCCAAGCAGGATGGGCCGTGGGATGGGATACGAAGGACGGATCTCCCAGCAACACAGCAGCCGCTGGCATCTGCCCTGGGAGATGGGAGCCCATCCAGCTAATGAGGGCATGACTCCCAGGAGCGTTGCACGCCATAGCTCCATGGGGAATAGGTCAGGGTCTGGTGATGAAGGTCGGCCCCAGCAGCAGGACAGTGCCACTCCCCATTCTGTGCTGGGGCACTGGAGCATGCCCAGATATGAAGCACAGCACAAGATCCCTCATCCCTGTGCTGGGGTGCAGGAGAAGGAGCGTGGTCTAGGTAGTAACAGACAGCACTGTCAGCACCACACCACCTGCAAAAGCTATGCTGGGCTGCTCAGAGATGGAATGTGCCTAAGCTGAGTTAAAGTGGGGTGGGGGGCTGGGAGCCAGAACTCCTAGGTCCCATCCCTGAGCACTGGGAGGGGAGTGAGATCTAATGGGTTAAAGCAGGTGGGTCTCGGAGTCAGGACTCCTGGGCTCAATCCCCAGCTCCAGGAGGCCTCCTAGGACTAATCTGGTGTTCTAAGAGATGGAGCCCCCAGACATGATGGAGGACAGCGCCTCCACCCGTGAGCCCTAATGCCATGCTGGGGTATGGAGAGCAAGAGAACGTTGCAGTTTAGATGGACAGTGACCTCCAAAGCCCTCTCTCCACCCAATGCCATGCTGGGACAGCACCTCCTGCAGTACAACACCCCTCAGTACATTGCTGTGAGATGCTTCTCCAGTAGCCAAGTGCACCCCTAACATCACGCGAGAGTGCACAGGGACAGAAGGTGGCTGCACCATAGACCGCACCCTACCTCTTTGCTGAGCAATGTAAAAATCTCTGTCCCTTCCACGGAGAAATGGAGGGAGAGGGGAGCTGGGGGGAGACAGAGGAAGAGAGAGAGAGGCATATGTGGGGAGGAGGGGAGAGACAGAAAGCTCCGGATTACATGCAGCAAACCTGCACCGCTTCCTCCTACAGATTTGCAAAAGGCCCCTCCCGTGCCATGCATGCAGCGCTGCGATCGGGGGTGGCATCAGCCCCTAACCATGGGTATCAGTTTAAGCATAGATTCAATCAACAATGTTGCAGAAACTCAGCCTTCCCACCCCCACCTCTGGGGACCGAGTGACACAGAGAGAGAGACACACAATTAGGTTTTCTTACCTCGGGATGCTGTGCTTTGAATGCTGGGGTGCGTGGAAATAGGGGCAGGTACATCCGCGCCCCCTCCCTCCCCTCAGAGCTATAGAACGGACTCTTTCAATCACACAGAAGAGCAGGCGGTGGCTCATCACTCCAGCTCTTTGATGGACCGAAGCTGCCACAGTTTCATTGCAAAAGTCTTCGCCTTCTGCAAGGAACGGGGACGGGGGAAAAACAGCCTAAGACTTGAAGGGGATATACACTTCTTTCTTAGGTTTCCAATGGCAACCGAATATACCACAGATGAATATCCAGAGAGAGAGAGAGTGTGTGTGTGTGTGTGTGCGCGCGCGCGCATAAGACACAGAGAGAGGAGTGAGATGCACAGCTGCTGAGTCCACAGGCAGTGCAGGGTGTAACCTAGCAGGGGCATGTCAGCGCTCATGGGAAGAGACAAGCGGACATAGACAGAGGGGCAGACAGACGGTCTGAGGGAAAGAGCCTTGAAGCATGGAGGAGAACGTGGCCTTTATCCTAAGGCCTGAGCAGTCCCACCAGTGATAGGAGTGAGCCAGCACCTGGCAGGGTGGGAACAGGGAGGGTCTGCTGTCTGATTGATCCTCACAGGGGCAAAGTATAACTATACCCCTATACACACAGGCACGCTCGTAATCCCACACACCAACTTACTGTGCACACGCACACCACCCTACACACACTCCATACATGCAGCCTCACACACCAACTTGCTGATACACACACACCTCATCCCCATACACATACAACCCCGCGCAGTGTCACCAATTTACCAATACACACACACCAGCCCCATACACATACACCCCCACAGCCTCACACACCAATTTACTCCGACACCCACATTTACACACACACAAACTCACACACCAACCTACTCGTACACACACACCACCCTACACATACCCCTACACCAACTTTCTCATACATATACTCCACCCCTAGACATATGCAGCCCCCCCCCCACAGCCTCACACACCAACCTGTTCACACACACACATACAAACCCAAACCTCCACCCACCGAATGAGAGGCTCACCATTTCTCTCCATCACACCCAACATGCCAACCCCACCACAAAACACACACAGCCAAACATATGCTGTCTTTCAGATACTCATCACACAAATGCTCATACAATCAACACACAACATACACCATCACACAAACACAAATACATGCCAAACACAAACACACCACATCACAAACATTCACCATTACACAACACACACCAACCACTTGAACACATACAACACCACGCAAACACACCCCATTAAACAAACACAAATACATACCAAACACCCACACACAGAGATATGGATACATGTACAACCACCATCATTCAGACATGCTTATCACACAAATATACTATAAATACAAACCACACATAACACACAAACTTACACCAAAAATACACACCAAACCCCATCACACAAACATACACCACCACACAGGCACAAATATACACCACACAAGCACAAATACACATTAACACACCTGGACAAATATTTTTCATCAAACATACTACACACAAACACACCACCACACAAACATACACCAGGAGACAAACAAAGCCTACACACACAACATCAATACATCCCACTGCATGCAAAAAAGTGACATTCTCCAAATAGCTGGTAAACAGGAACTTCATTTGGAAATCAGTGTATTGCTCTATACACCTGCGCACTGCGCACACTCACTCTCACACATACACACACACACACACACACACAATTGCACCTAGTCAGCTTTGACTCTGCCCCTCTCTTTTATCCTTTTATTCTGGTTCTGTCCATTTCTCCAGTCTCCCAGCACTGTCCATCTCTCTGTCCACCAATACACATTGCAGTTCAGTGACTGAGCATCTAGAGGAAAAGCATCCTACATACATTCACACTCCTCCCTCCCTCCTCCTTCCTTCCTCTTTTCCATTGGCATCCGATGGATATAATTTGCATGCATAGAAGAGTGCGAGGTCCCACCAGCCTAGAGTGCTGTGAAATTGGCTAATAGCGGCATCAGGGGACGTGACTGCAAAGTCTAAACACAGTGAAGTAATTCGTGAACCCTAATGGAAGGTGGGGGGCTGGAGGGGAAAGTGACAGTTTCTTCTAGGTCCAAGTAGGGACAGGGAGACAAGGGAATGGGTGGGAGGGGGTGGCAGAGAGATGCAGGCAGGCCGGATGACATTGAGAATAGAGTTCTGTAAGGCTTGCTAACAGGCATGGTAATGCCACTGCGTGAGGTTCAGAGTTCATGACTGCGGGTGAGCAGGGCTCTGTGTAAGGTCAAGTGAGTGTGTCTGTGCCTTGTTAGAGAGGAGAATACCTGTCTGCGTGCGCGGATGTGAATGCGCACGAATGACGTACGGGGGTGTCAGGTTGGGTGTGGATGTGACTGTGCATGGATTGGTTCATGGGGGGAGGGTGAAGTAGCACGTACAGTGTATGGGTTTGGGGGTTTGGATATGTGGCCAGCTGTGCGTGTGCACAGATGCTACATGAGTTTGTGTCTGTATGGACGGTGCGGGTGTGAATGGGTTTGTGTCTGTCTGGGAGATGTGTGTCCCGGTCAGTATGCGTCTGCGTGAGCAGAAACGCAATGCACAGCGTGTAGATGCGCGCAGACAGCCCAGGAGCCCAGCGCAGCCCTGGTGTAAGCAGGGGATGAGGTCAGTGTTATCACGCCTGCCTGCCCCAATTTGGAATCCCGCCCTGTGTGCACCTGGGTTTTTGTGGGAGGAGGCACGGGCAGAGCAGACAAATCCTGAAGCCTCTGCACACGCAAAGCTCTCATTGAAGGCAATGGGCCAACTCCTGGCAATGAGGGGGCGGCTAGAGGTGCAGCTTCCCCCCACCCCAGCAGTTCCTGGGGGGCTCATGCTGACTCAGGCACAGGAATGGCCCCAGGAGCTCACCCTACAGCACACGCTGTGCCACCCTTTGGAAAGGTGAAGTGTGGCCTAGACCTGACCCTGTCTGCTGGTGCAAGGGAGGGGCGGATCCTGCCCTCCCCCAACTCCAGCTCCGTAGACCAGAGGAGGAGTCCCTGGACTAGGAGAGCACAGGCCTTTGCAGGGCTGGACGCAAGCCAGCCCTAGTTTCAACGACTCCCTACCAAGGCGGACTTCCCAGTGACATCAGTGAGTGATTTCCCTGAGCAAGGGCTCCGGAAAAGGCCATCAAGATACGGTCCTGTCTGTGTGTGTGTCTGTGTGTCTGCTCTGGTAAGTACAAACAGACACAACCGACACACACACAATCATCAACACAGTTACTGAGACACACAAACACTCTCCCTCACAAAACTGCCTAGCCAATACAAACACCCCTGCACCACACTCCCACACCTCCTCACACTCCTAAAAACACATACACACACACAAACACAAACACAACGCTCCTTAGCTCAAACATTCCTCCCTCCCCCTCCTACACACACACCAAACACACACAGAGACACAGGTTCTGATCCTGCTCATGCAGCCCCACAAAAGAGGATAGAGAGAGGGCTGGGGGACTCCCACATTTCCCCCCCCCCCCCCAGTACCAAAACGAACCCCCCCTCCCCGTGTGATGCCAACTCTCTGGAGGAACCCTCTCCTTGCCCTCTGACCTGCAGGGGACCCACGGTACTGAGGATCTGGCTTGCGGTGGGTATCCTTTCCTCCCCGATTGCACCTGCGTGCCTTCCCCTCCTCATGTTCTCCGCTAACATTTCTTTTGCATTACAGGTGATAAATAATGTAGGCTGCAAGGGGAGAGGAGAGACAGTACACTGGAGCAGAGGATGGCACACCCGTGATACCGGACGAAAGCCGACACATGCTACCCACACTGGTGGCTGTTGCTGACCCCCATTATAGCCACGCAGAGCTGACAGCTATTCCAGTGAAAGCACGGTAGGAAGGGCGCTTTAAAAGGGCTCTGTAGTCCGTGTTTCTTGCAGTAGCAGGAAGAAGGCCTCTCTCATACAGGCAGCAAGGTGGATCTTCAGCTCTGAGCTAAGCACTGACAAGACTTGCCAGTGGAGATGGGAGCTGTCACCCTAACCCTGCCCTTCTTGCCATCTGCTGTTGGGCTTTATGACAGGGCAAAATCACCTTAGCTTGTTAAACAAAGAATGAGAGAGAGAGAGAAGAGAGAAGGCGCATGTGTGTCTGAATGGTGTGTTTGTGGGGCTGCGAGTGATGTATGCTGTCGTGTGTATGCCCTTTTGTGTGGTGTCTGACATGCACACGCACACACATGCACATGTACCAACAATGTTATGCATGAGTATTTGTGTAGGATCACTGTGGATACCTGGTGTGTGGCGTGTGCATCTGTGAATGTTTTCTGCATGTGTGTAGCCTCTGCATGTCCATGACATGTGAATACGTTCTGTATGAATAGCACCTGTGCGAGTGTGGTGATGTGTGTGTAATTTGTGTGGAGGTGTGTTCTGTGTGCACATGAATACGTTCTGTATGCATAGCACCAGTGTGAGCATGGTGATGTGGGTGTAACTTGTGTGTATGTTTGGGGGGGGTGTTCTGTGTGCATGTGAGTATGTTCCGTTTGCATAACACCTGTATGAGTGAGGTGATTTGCGTGTAACTTTTGTGTTTGTGTGGTGTGTGCAAATGCATTCTGTGTGTATAGCGCTTGTGTGCCTGGCAACTGTGGGATCTGTGAATAACTTGTTTGTGTTGTGTGTGTTTTTGTGCATGTGTTCTGTGTGTATAGCATCTGCATGGCTGCCATTGTTAGGGTATCTGTGTACAATGTAGGTCGTGTGTGTCTTTACTGCATGCGGGCGCGTGTGGTCGTTCATAGGGTGTTCCTTTCTAAGGTGAAGCAGACAGGCTGGCTCTCCGCCCAGTCTCTGGTTCTCCTTCCTCACCCTCCCTCACTCGCTCGTTCAGTGACCGCAGCTCGCTCAGCCCTAAAAATCATTCCCCAGAGCTAGGTAGACCAAGGAGTTCCCATCCCCAGAATCCCCGATACATGCCTGGAACCCTACTCTCCCCCTGGCCTGGGAGCACAACACAGACACTGCCGACAGTCAACAGGAACACAGAAGCTAGTCCCCCGCTCTTTATACTTAGACTGAGGAGGCTGGGATGGGCAGAGGCAGGCTTGGAGGACAGGGGCATGTGTTAGAGAACAATACTGGTCACCTGGAGGA